TAAGCAATTTCCATCTTCCTAAAACCAACCAAACAAGCAAAGCTAATTTTAAAAACGATTTCTGACTATCTTACTTTAAATTATAAATAGTCCTTACTTTGTTATTCGAGTAACTCTAACAGACTTTCATTACATAGTTAAGTAAAATGTTTCATAAATGTCAATCAATGAGCTACAACGTAGGAACAGGCACATATATGCATCAGTCCAAGTTTCACGACTTCATTAACGCAACAAGACGAACATCATATTCATAGAAGTAGATACTTCAATGGTAGTATTATATAAAAAAGTGATTGTGTATAAGGATATGGTATAGGAATAAAGAATTAGTTCGTAGAAAGAAAGATATAAAGCAATTTTAATCTCACGGTTTAAGGGAAGACAGAGATTGCATACGCCTACGCCATTGTGATCGATTCTGACCCATGTCAACCAGAGTCTCCAACCATTGGTTACGATAATCACGCGAATCTCAAACAAGTAGTCTGTTAACCATCATCTACAATATCCAATATGATTGTTATATTGTTTATCTTGATAATATTCTTTATTCATAACATAATTTTATGTCTCTTTTTTATTCGATTCATTTTTAGGATGCTATTGTTGTGATCTATCTAGTTGATTGTTCTCTTTATTCCACTAGTTCTATCAATGATAATCAATCTCATTTAAATAACAGTTCATTATCAAAATTTATTTCACCTGAATTGATTGTTTCAATGAATATACCAGAGAATGCTCGTGTTGATTATTTACAAATTGAGAAATTAGTAATGTCTACTTTAAATAATAATAATAATAATAATAATAATAATAATAATAATAATAATAATTGTAGTAAGAATATTAACAATGATATTGGTAATGTTTATCTAAATAGATTTAAACAAGATCATTCTAATGCTTATAGAAAGGTTCAATTAGAACCTTTACTTAGTTCAACTCAACTTATAACTAATAATAATGATAGTTTGAAGAAATACACTCAAGAAAACAGTAGACAACGTCACAGTCTTCCATCTTATAAACGAACACTTCATCATGATAATAATAATAATAATAATAATAATAATAATAATAATGCGTGTTCCCCTTCATCAATTATTCAAAATAATAATAATGATGATGATTTGTTAATCATTCCATCGACTAAAAGTTTCAAATGGACTCCATTAAATAATTCTATCGACATTAATGACAATACTACTACTACTATTGATATCAATACTACTGACAATCAAATATTCAATAATAATAATAATAATCTAAACATGAATAAACCTTTATGGAATAAACATTTATCTTCTAATTCATTCAATATTTCAAATAATGATTTATCAATGTCTATGGATACATTCAATAATACAATACAGACTATTCAATATTCAATAGATAATAAAGATAATAAGAATAATAATAATGATGATGATGATATTTTCACATTTGGTTTTAATAATCTAATAACAAATAGTGAGAATATTTTAAAGAAGCATTTAAAAAGTGAAGATTTTGAAATTGATTTATAAAATGTAAATATATAAACTGATAGAAACACAATTAGATGCTTCAATTGGTAATTATTATTATTATTATTATTATTATTATTATTATTATTATTATTATTGTACATATAATTTAAATAGAATTTGTAGAAGAGATTAATTATATTTATTATTAACAGAGTGAATTGATAGATGATGGTTAGTGATGATTAAAAAAAATTAGTACTCGACTTCAAATGACCAGATTGTATATTCAAATGATCGATTCGATCAAGTAGATGGATTGACATTCGCGAATATCCGGCGCTTTAACCGGATTCCAAACCAATGGTGCACATGGGCTCCAGTATCCTGCGGGAATGAATGGCATATGAACCAGTCGTTGGTCACCGGCTTCCAGGGGACTGCATCTTCTTACGATGCTCCACTGCCTTGTGGATTAGACCTTTAGGTCAAAGGTTCGGGGTGTGTCCCCCTAAGAAAACCACCTGCTTCGGTCTGGGCACCCGGGCAGTATCACAGCCCCCACACATATCAAATGAGATTTGTGTGGCGCATATGTATTTGGTGCCTCCTTGTACCAATATCTATGTGTTAAAATAAATAAATAAATAAATAAGATGGATTGAATGGTAAGATCATATGATTTTCATTCAGTAGTCCATGTGTTGAAGTCCCACTCCAGCAATAGAGTCGGTGCATCCACTCTTTGTGTTCTCTCAAATTATAATCTTTCGGATTCTACATTTCCCATGTTTTTCTTTTTTCAAGTTTTTTTCACTGGATTATACTCTTTGAATAACATCTTGAAACACTAATGTTTCCGATTACTGCTTATACTTTTACTACCTCTACCACTATGGGATTTGAATCGAGAATTGTATCTTTGTGTTAATGTGGAGTGGCAACTCGAACTGATGTACATACGTACGAAGTTCTACGTTGTTCAGTGACTGATCAGCTTTATTTATATTTATTTATTTAAACACATAAACATTGGCACAAGGACGGACCAAATAGATATGCGTCACACAAGTCACTTGATTTATGTTTGGGCTATAATATTGTTCGGATGCCCAAACCAAAACAGGCGGTTTTATTAGGTGGCTACACATGGAGCCTTTGACTTATAGGTTTGATCCACAAGGCAGTGGAGCAACGTCAGAAGATGCAGTCCCATAGTAGTCGGTGACCAATGATTGATTCATACACCATTTGTTCCTTCAGGATACTGGAGCCAATGTGCACCATTAGTTTGGAATCAGGGTTTTCCAACTCTCCTAGGTGAGCTCTCCGTGTCCACCAATCCTGTTACAGCACCCAACATTCTCTTTTCTTCCTATCAATCTCGTAAACAACAGTAATGATGAGAGTAGGCGGTGAGTAGGACTTCCCTGGCAGTAGTTGTATGCACGCGGCCATGTGAGAGCATTTGGAGAGGGAGAACTGACTCTCTCCACTCTCGGCCGTACCACGGCATTTGGGGGCTAATGATAATAATGTCACCTGCCTCCTTACTCACACAACACATTTCTAGAGAGTTCCAGCACATAAATTTGTACTTGGTACGTAAGTAACAATTTACTGATGTTGAGAAGACTGTGCATGAAACACATGCGTATCAATTTCTTCTGATTTAATAGTCACCTCAAAACGCAATCCTATAAGTATGTCACTCATATGAGATGATGAGATTTAAGAAGTTTTCACTTTTAAAACCAGCTTGTATCACATTGTTTAATCACGAAAGAACTGATGTTATTTCGAGCAAACAGTTAGTGATATTAACTTTCATAAAACCAAAGTGTAGATCAAGGCTCTGTGTATAAACTTTTATTTGATATATCGAGTTACCCAGCTGCTATCCTTGTTATCAATGTTTCAGTGGTGTAAGTAATGTCACATTTGTATGCTTGTTTGTTCAACTTGAGTGATCGTGTCAGTTCTCCTGGGAGGTTATCTTATTTATACAAAGATTTCGATCAAAATTTGTGATTCAACATCAGTATATACTTCAAAGCTACATTATTGTTCCTGTTCTTATCACGTTGATCAGAAAACACCTCACTTCCATAGGTCTTGTCTCTTGAGCACAATTTAGGTACAGTTGTTTTGTAGGAATGATTGTCATTCAAGTTGAAATAACCTTTATTTATCTGATAATTACATTTCTCGATAACATTTTGAGTTTCCTTGGAAAAGTGTAGCAATCGGATTAAATAGACAACTAAAACGCTGTACTCCACCAAATTTTCAGATTCGAGTCATAAAATTTGATTAAATTTCACCTCCATCTCAATAACTTGACAGTGACATCTCTGAATGTAGTTGACATGCGACACAAGTTTGCACCAAAGGTTGGATGTTGTGTCGAAATATTCAATATTAGGATGTAAAAGTTTATCGAACTGCACAGGAATTACGTCAAGTTTATAATTTCGTTGAGAATACTTGTAAATTTTTAGCTCCAACGTCATGCTGAAAGTTGTTGAAAGCTGCTTAAATATTTAGTGGTCAGTTGACTGTTAGACAGTTTGTGTTAAGTCATTATAACTTACAGTATGTTGTGACACCGCATTACTTCATTGACCACTTTTCGCTAAACTCATGAATCTAATAACAGTGTCTTTAACTGATTTTAATTTTTCAGGAGTTATCTTTTAGATACATTCCCCTGAACATCTGTGAAACTTCTGTCTACGGGATCGTGTGAACTATTCTCAATAAATTACAATGTAAAAATATCATCTAACAAGAGGGAAGCAATTTTAAGTAATGCTTGAGATCATGAATTGATCAGTTTTAGATCACTATTAAAAATCTGGAAACGCCGGACGGCCATTTCGTCCTAGTATGTGACTTCTCATCAGTGCGTATCTCCGATCCAGCATGCGGGATTCGAATCCAGAACCTTCGGTCTCGCCCACTAACGCTTAAACTCTAGACCACTGAGCTGGGTTCGAATTGTGCGTGCTGGATTGTGGATACGCACTGCCGAAGAGTCATATACTAGAACGGAACGGCCGTCCAGTGCTTTCAGGTTTTAATAGTGGTCTAAAATTGATCGATGTCATTCGAAACTCAACAATTTCCACAACCCAATACCGATCATTTTAAGTGACGTTTGTTTTGAGGGATTCTTATGAGGTTGACTAACAATATATTGAGTAGACTGTAAATCTCAATCAACTAAGTTGTCAGAGATAAATATATTCAACCATCGCCTATCTGAATATCAAATGTTGGCTGGCGTTGGAGTAGTTTCGGAAAATATTGCTGATATTCAAGCTAACATGTAGCCTCAGTTCATAACTTGATGACTATCGATCTCTGTGCTAATACGATGTGTGAACTTGGATTATTTCAGATACATGCCAGATTCTACGTTGATGATGACTAACGTAACGTTTAGAAAAAAATGTCTTCATACTAACACGAAAATTAAAACAGAAAAACGTTTTTGAAACTATCTCTTTTAGAATTGAATAAGGAGAAAAAAAGTGTTCAGTGCATCGATCATTTGATTTAAGTAGTCTGTTTTGACTTTTTGTTTCTTTGTCGTGGGGATTCTTCAAAGAACCATACGAAATAAATGATGTAAATAATAGATTAGGAGTTCAAAGTATGAGTTGAATTTGATTGATTTATCTCATTTCGTTTTTTAGTAAAACTGTCATCTGAAATATTGAAAGAAAAATTCATACATCCATTTAGAGTAATGAAATGCAAGCAATTTATTATTATTGTTCTTATTTTTCTATAATTTATCTTGATAATTTTATCTCATTATAGTGATATGATATGACAACTTGGATTGAAGTACATATATATAACAGATTCTTAGTTGCTTATGATTAACTGAATTAATTAAACTCATATTCTGTAAACTGTCTTCTCACGGTGCTGTTTAAGAAGTTGAGAGGACGAAAAGCGAAAGTCAGGCGTTTTAACCGAATCGGTGGCTACGTAGGATCCATCTAGAAGAGTTGGAAAACCCTGATTCCAAACCATTGGTGCACATGGACTCCAGAAACCTGAAAGAAAAAATAGCGTATGAACCAATCATTGGTCACCGACTACCATGGGACTGTATCTCCTGACGTTCCACTGTGTTGTGGATTAGATCTTTAGGTCGAAGGCTCCGTGTGTGGCCCCCTAATAAAACCATCTGTCTCGGTTTGGGCATCCGGGCGGTATCATATCCCAAACACTAATCAAGTGACCTACGTGGCGCATATGTATTAGGTGCCCCTTTGTACCAATATTTATATGTTCAAATAAATAAGTAGACTAAAAACTAGACTGAAATTTGAACAAATCAGTAATGGATTTAGTCTGAATAAGTATGACTTATAATTCATATTAATCGTGACTGCAAATAGATAGGATTCACAAAATTGATTGAATAGCATAGTTATACGGTTACATTTCGACAAGAAAATTCTTTTTACATACAGCTGTTCAGTCTGTATGCGCTAAAATATGTTATATTTGGTTTGTTTAACTGTAAATGCAGTGTGTGCTACTGATGTCGACAATTATAAGTAATATGTATCAGCAATCGAAAGTGCAATGCCTGGTAGAAGTAGGTTGAGAAAATAAAGAGAACGAGGACAGAGAGTGATTGGTATGAAACTTAAAGAACAACATAGTCTGAGACAATTAATATTTATTTTGCAAATGATGTATCTACTGTATGGTTCTTAGATTTTACTAAGGTATTCTGTAATACTGTATTAAAATACATTTGGTTTTCTCCACTGGTATTCACGTTCACTACAATACTACTATTTTATTTGGATGCATACGCTTTAAAGCTGTCTTTTACTGTATTGAAGTGAAATATATGGAAACTTGGTTTGATGTGTATTTAAACAAGATTCTACAATTATCTATTACTGATTATACAATATGGCCAGATTGATAGTTACCATTTGAGAATTTCATTGTAACTGAAGGTCAGGATCAGTTTATATTTAATTATTGAATTTCAGTTGTGAGATAGTAATCGTGTTGTCAAAGACACACGCTTCTTAGTTGGAATATCCATTCTATTGAACTTAATATCACCAAGAAGTTTTGTAATTCCTTGGAATAAACAAGATGGTTGTCAACTATGTAGTCATACCTACTGTTTCAATTTAGTTCATAATTCATAGTTATTACAAGGAGAATAGTTTATTATAATCTTCCTGTGTACTTACTTACATACTCTGTACCCCTTGTGATGGAGTATATGCCGTCCACCAGCACACTTCATCCAAACCTATCCTGAGCAATCCTTCGTAGTTGCTACTCATCCTTTTCATATCTGCTTCCGTTTTCCGACGTAGTGTTCTTTTGCTTTCCGCTTTTTCTCTTCCCTTCAGGATTCCAAGTTATCGCTTGTCTGGTGATGCAGTTGGGTGATTTCCGTAATTCATGTCCTATTCACTTGCAACGTATTTTCCTAATTTCCTCTTCAGCTGGAAGCTGGTTTGTCCTCTCCCACAGAAGGCTACTGCTGATGGTATCCGGCCAAAGGATCTTGAGTATATTGCATAGACAATTCTTTATAAATACTTGTACTGTTTTGATGATGGTTGTAGTAGTTCTCCGCGTTACAGCTTCGTACAATAAAACTTTCTTCACGTTGGTTGACAAACAGTTGTTTTGAGTCCCATATGTTCTTCAATTGTAGTAATGTGACCCTTGCTTTGTCAACCCTCGACTTTACGTCTGCATCTGATCCTCCTTGTTCATTGATGATGATTTCCAGGTACGTGAAACCTTTCATATTTTCTAGGGCTTCTCTATCAAGTGTGATTGGGTTGGTATTCTCCATATTGTATTTGAGGATGCTGCTTTTTCTTTGTGTATACTCAGGCCTGATACAGAGCCTGCTGCTACATTAGTTCTCATCTACATTTATTCGTGTGTGTAGGATAAAAGGGTCAGGTCATCTGCGAAGTTCAAATCTAATTGATTCAGTGTTTTCCTTCAGATGTCGAGCTCTTCATAATCCAGTCAACCACCAGAAGAAAGAGGGTGAGTAGGCAGCCTTGTCTGACTTCGATCCTTACTTGGAATGTATCTGTCAGCTATCCTCCATACACAATTTTGCACTTATAGTCCATCGTATGAATTCTGAATAATGTTAACAATCTTCTCTCAAGTACTCCGCCTACAGCTTTTCTACGAGTTCCTACCGGTCCCAAACGCTGGTAAGGAATGAAGGTTGGGCATAAGGTTACTGACTTCATCCCGTAGAAAACTAACTCGCTAAAAAAAATAATAAACGTTAACTCACACAAATAATATAACTCACTTACATGTTACTTCACTAAAATGATCTTTATCAAATATTGGTAAATTACAATGTGTATCTTTCCATTTAATTAAATCAATCATATCAGTGGAATTATATTGTGCAGCTATAATCATATTTAAATAATGCGGTTCCATTAATTTCGATTTTGATATTGAATACCATAATTTTAATTGATGATAAATAATAGTTTCATTTATTTGAGCATAATTTAAACCATTTTCAGAAGCTAATTTAGCTAATTCATATTTATTTGTATTGAATATATAAAATTTAGCTAATAATTCATAGGCTTCAGATAATTTCTCTGTATTATTATTATTATGTAATAATTTTGTATATTCAATAATAGTTATGTAATTTTGTTCAGCTTCATCTAGTTTAGATAAACTTGACAAGAAAAGAAAGAAAGAGAATAATAATAATAGTTAATTTATTTCTAAATCTGGAAGTATTGAACGACTGTGTTCGTCCTAATGTGAGACTCTTTAGCATTGCACATCCACGATCATGCCCCGTGAGATTCGAATCCAGGATCTATTAATCTCATGTGCAAATACTTAACCTCTAAACCACTGAACTGGTCGGCATCCAACGATGTTAATGTCTAACTTCAACCAATCCAATGCTATCCTGGTTTTTCTATGGTGGTCTAGCTTCAATTGACTCATGAATTCAACTATAAAATTACTAAAATCTCTACAAAACCCCTTCTGATAATAATTATAGTATGCTCACTAATGATTGGATTCAAGAGGTATTTTTTAGAGTTTTAGTGAGAAGCAGTGACCAGTGGAGTTCAACCGGGTCTATTGTGAGGTAGTAACTCACTAAAGACAATGGTAGACAGTGGCACAATTTCGTGGATTGGTTGAATGCTGGTTCAGTGATCTAGAGGTCTTGAGTTCGAGTAGTGAGTGCGGGACTGTTAATGCTCACTGTTGAGGAGTCCCATACTAAGATGAAACGTTCGTTCAATGCTTCCAAGTTTTCCATGGTGGTCCAGCTTCAATCGATTCATGAATTCAATCATAAAATTACTTCGAAGTGTTTGAATTTTTCTATTGTTTGTGTTAAAGATTTGTCTTTTTTGATAGCTTTGCATCTCATCAGCTTGTTTCGAAATTACTATTAAGTTATATGCTAGGAATTTTAAGTAGGATTGCAAAATACCTACTATACATGGTTCACATTCTGTTTTATATGGAACTATTCAACCGAATGTATTTGCAGCTTCAGTGTTGATATTCACACTGGGACTCGAACTCAGTACTTTCCACTTTGATCGGCTGTTGTTTTATCTACCTTGTCCAGACAGCCAATTGCTTTTTCGGCTAGAATGGATTTTTAATTCATTTTTAAGAGTTGTTCTAGTTCTCGCCTTAATTATATGAGTTAAGAATATGCAATGGAGGAGCCTTAAGTGGAATAAAACTGGTGTCCTGAATTCCACCACTAGCCACCATCCAACTTTGCGAAGTAATGATGTTTTTTTAAAAACACATTATTGATGCTAAGTAATACATAGTGTAGAGGATAACTGAACAATTAACATAACATGAGTCAGTTGAAGCTAGACCACCATTGAAAACCTGGAAGCACTGGACGGCCGTTTCGTCCTAGTATGAGACTCCTCAGCAGTGCGCATCCACGACCCCGCACCAACCGGGGCTCGAACCCAGGACCTACTGGCTTCGCGCGCGAGCACTTAACCATTAGACCACTGAGCCGGCATCCAACGGTGTTAATGTCTAACTTCAACCAATCCACGAAGTTGCGCTACCGTACACCATTGTCCTCAGTGAGTTCCTATCTCACAACAGACCTGGTTGAACTCCACTAGTAACGACTTCTCACTAGAACTCCAGAAGTGTCTCCTGAAATCAGTCACTAGTGAGCAGGTGATTATTATTATCAGAATGGGTTTTGTGGAGATTTTAGAAATTTCACAGATTGAAATCATGAGTCAGTTGAAGCTAGACCACCATTGAAAACCTGGAAGCACTGGACGGCCGTTTCGTCCTAGTATGAGACTCCTCAGCAGTGCGCATCCACGACCCCGCACCAACCGGGGCTCGAACCCAGGACCTACTGGCTTCGCGCGCGAGCACTTAACCATTAGACCACTGAGCCGGCATCCAACGGTGTTAATGTCTAACTTCAACCAATCCACGAAGTTGCGCTACCGTACACCATTGTCCTCAGTGAGTTCCTATCTCACAACAGACCTGGTTGAACTCCACTAGTAACGACTTCTCACTAGAACTCCAGAAGTGTCTCCTGAAATCAGTCACTAGTGAGCAGGTGATTATTATTATCAGAATGGGTTTTGTGGAGATTTTAGAAATTTCACAGATTGAAATCATGAGTCAGTTGAAGCTAGACCACCATTGAAAACCTGGAAGCACTGGACGGCCGTTTCGTCCTAGTATGAGACTCCTCAGCAGTGCGCATCCACGACCCCGCACCAACCGGGGCTCGAACCCAGGACCTACTGGCTTCGCGCGCGAGCACTTAACCATTAGACCACTGAGCCGGCATCCAACGGTGTTAATGTCTAACTTCAACCAATCCACGAAGTTGCGCTACCGTACACCATTGTCCTCAGTGAGTTCCTATCTCACAACAGACCTGGTTGAACTCCACTAGTAACGACTTCTCACTAGAACTCCAGAAGTGTCTCCTGAAATCAGTCACTAGTGAGCAGGTGATTATTATTATCAGAATGGGTTTTGTGGAGATTTTAGAAATTTCACAGATTGAAATCATGAGTCAGTTGAAGCTAGACCACCATTGAAAACCTGGAAGCACTGGACGGCCGTTTCGTCCTAGTATGAGACTCCTCAGCAGTGCGCATCCACGACCCCGCACCAATCGGGGCTCGAACCCAGGACCTACTGGCTTCGCGCGCGAGCACTTAACCATTAGACCACTGAGCCGGCATCCAACGGTGTTAATGCCTAACTTGAACCAATCCACGAAGTTGCGCCACCGTACACCATTGTCATCAGTGAGTTCCTATCTCACAACAGACCTGGTTCAACTCCACTCGCAACGACTTCTCACTAGAACTGCAGGAGTGTCTCCTGAATCAGTCACTAGTGAGCAGGTGATTATTACTATTATTATTATTATTATTATTATATTTCAGAATGTGTTTTGTGGAGATTTTTAGAAATTTCACAAGTTGAAATGATGAGTGAATTGAAGCTAGACCACCATGGAAAACCTGGAAGCACTGGACGGCCGTTTCGTCCTAGTATGGGACTCCTCAGCAGTGCGCATCCACGACCCCGCACCAACCGGGGCTCGAACCCAGGACCTACTGGCTTCGCGCGCGAGCACTTAACCATTAGACCACTGAGCCGGCATCCAACGGTGTTAATGTCTAACTTCAACCAATCCACGAAGTTGCGCTACCGTACACCATTGTCCTCAGTGAGTTCCTATCTCACAACAGACCTGGTTGAACTCCACTAGTAACGACTTCTCACTAGAACTCCAGAAGTGTCTCCTGAAATCAGTCACTAGTGAGCAGGTGATTATTATTATCAGAATGGGTTTTGTGGAGATTTTAGAAATTTCACAGATTGAAATCATGAGTCAGTTGAAGCTAGACCACCATTGAAAACCTGGAAGCACTGGACGGCCGTTTCGTCCTAGTATGAGACTCCTCAGCAGTGCGCATCCACGACCCCGCACCAACCGGGGCTCGAACCCAGGACCTACTGGCTTCGCGCGCGAGCACTTAACCATTAGACCACTGAGCCGGCATCCAACGGTGTTAATGTCTAACTTCAACCAATCCACGAAGTTGCGCTACCGTACACCATTGTCCTCAGTGAGTTCCTATCTCACAACAGACCTGGTTGAACTCCACTAGTAACGACTTCTCACTAGAACTCCAGAAGTGTCTCCTGAAATCAGTCACTAGTGAGCAGGTGATTATTATTATCAGAATGGGTTTTGTGGAGATTTTAGAAATTTCACAGATTGAAATCATGAGTCAGTTGAAGCTAGACCACCATTGAAAACCTGGAAGCACTGGACGGCCGTTTCGTCCTAGTATGAGACTCCTCAGCAGTGCGCATCCACGACCCCGCACCAACCGGGGCTCGAACCCAGGACCTACTGGCTTCGCGCGCGAGCACTTAACCATTAGACCACTGAGCCGGCATCCAACGGTGTTAATGTCTAACTTCAACCAATCCACGAAGTTGCGCTACCGTACACCATTGTCCTCAGTGAGTTCCTATCTCACAACAGACCTGGTTGAACTCCACTAGTAACGACTTCTCACTAGAACTCCAGAAGTGTCTCCTGAAATCAGTCACTAGTGAGCAGGTGATTATTATTATCAGAATGGGTTTTGTGGAGATTTTAGAAATTTCACAGATTGAAATCATGAGTCAGTTGAAGCTAGACCACCATTGAAAACCTGGAAGCACTGGACGGCCGTTTCGTCCTAGTATGAGACTCCTCAGCAGTGCGCATCCACGACCCCGCACCAACCGGGGCTCGAACCCAGGACCTACTGGCTTCGCGCGTGAGCACTTAACCATTAGACCACTGAGCCGGCATCCAACGGTGTTAATGTCTAACTTCAACCAATCCACGAAGTTGCGCTACCGTACACCATTGTCCTCAGTGAGTTCCTATCTCACAACAGACCTGGTTGAACTCCACTAGTAACGACTTCTCACTAGAACTCCAGAAGTGTCTCCTGAAATCAGTCACTAGTGAGCAGGTGATTATTATTATCAGAATGGGTTTTGTGGAGATTTTAGAAATTTCACAGATTGAAATCATGAGTCAGTTGAAGCTAGACCACCATTGAAAACCTGGAAGCACTGGACGGCCGTTTCGTCCTAGTATGAGACTCCTCAGCAGTGCGCATCCACGACCCCGCACCAACCGGGGCTCGAACCCAGGACCTACTGGCTTCGCGCGCGAGCACTTAACCATTAGACCACTGAGCCGGCATCCAACGGTGTTAATGTCTAACTTCAACCAATCCACGAAGTTGCGCTACCGTACACCATTGTCCTCAGTGAGTTCCTATCTCACAACAGACCTGGTTGAACTCCACTAGTAACGACTTCTCACTAGAACTCCAGAAGTGTCTCCTGAAATCAGTCACTAGTGAGCAGGTGATTATTATTATCAGAATGGGTTTTGTGGAGATTTTAGAAATTTCACAGATTGAAATCATGAGTCAGTTGAAGCTAGACCACCATTGAAAACCTGGAAGCACTGGACGGCCGTTTCGTCCTAGTATGAGACTCCTCAGCAGTGCGCATCCACGACCCCGCACCAACCGGGGCTCGAACCCAGGACCTACTGGCTTCGCGCGCGAGCACTTAACCATTAGACCACTGAGCCGGCATCCA